TAGAACTATCCATAAAAGCTAATATAAAACATACCTTTACATTACGAACATATTTATCAAAACATAATTTTACTTTTACACAGCAGCAAATTATTGTGTAAGGGAGCGACCATAAATTACGTGAGGTGTTTTTTTTTAATTGTCTGATCTGATTGTTAGATTGTTATTACAAAAAGAAAAAAAATCCATGTTCATGTACTCGTTGAGTACCGTCATTATAGACACAACTAGCTGTTGCCCGCGACTTCGTCCGCGTAGAATAATGACTTCTGGCAGAATTTAGGCTTTTGAATTAGTTTTTATCAAGGGATATTCTACGGTAATGGATGTCGTCAGAATTGATTCAGTCCTGTAGATGATAGCGTGATAATATGTAGCCTATATGTTTACCAGACTTGTTAGTAATATTCATGCAAAATTTGAAATAGTAGTGCAGTACTTTTTGAGATCATCACGGCCATACATACAGACAAACAGACAAAAATTCTAAAAACCACATTATTGGCTTCGGTATCGATTAGAGATCACGCTTCAAATATTCTTTTAAAAAATATTCAATGTACAGTTTTGACTTTTCTACGATTTATTATATGTGTAGATAGCTGTTGCCCGCGACTTCGTCCGCGTAGATTAATGACTTCTGACAGAATTAACCAGAATCAATTCAGTGCCCAAGTAAGATTTACCTATTTTGAAATGATTTATCGTAGTTTCAATAAATAAATAATCCCGCAGGGATCTTACCAGTACAGTGCCCGATCACGTAAGGTTTGAGTAATAAAAACTATTCTATCGACTATTGTTGTACCGAATCTCTCTAGAATAAGTTCAGTGGTTAAGAGTTAGAGAGTCCTGGGGCATTGACGCATAGTTCCCGTTCTCGTGAGACATCTGTGAAAAAACTATCATACGTTACCCAGGTCCCAAATCATCGTTTTACCGAATGTAATTCAAAAAGATTCAATGATTCTAAATTCAACGGCTAAGAAGATTTATACAAACTCTCATTCCCTATTTTATCCCCTTAGGGGTGGAATTTATCAAAATCCTTTCTAAAGAGATACCTATGTCATAGTAACTTTATGCATGCAAAGTCTCAGCCCGATCAATTTAAAACTGGCAAAGTATCATACTTTGGGGTGAGAATGTTCAAAAACCTTTCTAAAGGGACGTTTACGTCATAATATCCATCTGCACGCCGAATTTCAACCCGATCGGTGTAAAACTGACAAAGCCTCACACAAACGTTCATCCCCTATTTTACCCCCTTGGTGGAAATTATCAAAATCCTTTCAAAGCGGATGCTTACGTCATAACATCTATCTGCATGCCAAATTTCAACCTGATCGGTTTAAAACTGACAAAGGCTCATATAAACTTTCATCCCCTATTTTACCCACTTGGGGGTGGAAATTATCAAAATCCTTTCACAGCGGATGCTTACGTCATAACATCTATCTGCATGCCAAATTTCAACCCGATCGGTTTAAAACTGACAAAGTCTCATACAAACTTTCATCCCCTATTTTACCCCCATTGGGGGTGGAAATTATCAAAATCCTTTCACATCGGATGCTTACGTCATAACATCTATCTGCATGCCAAATTACAACCCGATCGGTTTAAAACTGACAAAGTCTCATACAAACTTTCATCCCCTTTTTTACCCCCTTGGGGGTGGAAATTATCAAAATCCTTTCTTAGCGAATGCCTACGTCATAACATCTATCTGTATGCCAAATTTTAGCCCAATCTGTCCAGCGGTTTGGGCTGTGCGTTGATAGATCACTATGTCAGTCAGTCAATCAGTCAGTCAGTCAATCACCTTTGAATTTTGTATATATAGATTAAAGTACAATAGGTTGCGGTCACCGGTGACCGCTTGATGTTTGACAGTTTAAATCTTAAGCATGTACAATCTGGAATAAATGAACTATATGAGAATAACTTTTTTTTGTTTCTATCAGAAAAAAAATTACGTGATATTTGCCGAGACCCCCCTCTCTCCAACGTAAGATTAGATGAGATTTGAGTCTACCCCCTCTCCCCTCAAACATCTCACGTAATTAATTTATGGACGCCTCCTAACCACTGCACTAATCTCAGGCATAGACTATAAATGATTTTGTTTACCTTAACAGCGGCATCGGCCGTGGTGTCCTTATCAACATTCTCAATGTACAACTCCTTGCTCTTGAAGTCCATCGTCTCCTCAGAAGACTTCGGTATCGGGATGATTCTGCTGCTCGCCATGGAGACACGTACCTGGGAAAATTCATAATAGGGATGATGACAGGGTATGAAAACTAAAAATCTAATTAGTCTGTCAGTTAGGTAATGAAAAAATATTAGACACGTATTTTTTTATTTTGTTGTATAATTAAATGATACTTAGATATAACGAATCAAAGTTTAGGAGTTGGGGCTAAAACGTCAATTCTACGTATAAAATGTACATGTATAGAAGTGACGTCACGCGACATTTCAAATTAATATATCTTCGAAAGTATTCGTTTCTGTAAAAAAAATAGCTGTGTAATATTTTAAAATAATCTACCAGACATACATTAAAATAAAAATTAGTTTCCAATATTTTATCATTACATAACTTAGACTAATTATATTTTTATTTTCATACCCTGTCATTGTAACACCAATATTCAGTCAAGGAGAAAGAAAAAGAAAATAATCTTGAGGACAACTAATCTAATACAGTGTAATAACTAAACAACATACCTTGTCTCCCTCCTCAGTGTACCTCCACTGGAACTCCGTGGGCTTCAGAGTCTCCGGGTCCACCAACTTCACATCAGTGGTCACCAGCAGAGGAGCCTCCGACTGGATTGTGATGCCTGGGAAATTCTTATCTTTGCCCACCTGAAATAAAATAATATAAACACACACGTCATAAAAATTTCACAATATTACATTCACAGAAATGCTGCAATAGGGTAGATGACTAATTTGTATTGTAATGTCCGTCTGGTAGATGGTCTGTTTGTTTCGGCACTATAGCACCTGCTGAAACAATGTCATCCATAGTTTCCAATTTATTGATCCACGGCAACCCATCCATAGCCCTATCTTTATTTTCCATTATCCAGAATAGTTGTACACTAACCGGGGACTGTCCTTGGGTGCATTTCCATAGTGCACACAGAGATAGTCGCCGGTTTGTGTGTCCATTACATATGGATTAAATTTATTTAAAGGGCCTCTGTGCAGTTGGCTTGGGCCCCTCGTACACCTCCCAAATGACCGGGACCCTGTGGTGCCGTGAATGGTAAAGAAATACTCTACTCACAACTCTGAGATGTGTGTTGAGTCCCTCCACAATCACCCAGTTCCGCTCCTGTATCACTTGTTGGACGATTCCTTGCTTGCCCTTGTCTTTACCCACCATTATCTCCACACGGTCTCCTCTGGAAACACATACAAACATTTTTTTACTGTTATAGATCTTATACTATTACTGAAGAGTTTGTTTGTTTGTTTAAATGCGCTAATCTAAGGGAACTGCTGGCCTGAATGTTTTTTTTTAATGTTGCCCCACACTAGGATTTTCTCCTGTATTGTTGGTTAGTTTACAAACATACAAGGGCACATACACATGACACCCAGACCCGGAACAACAAAATGTGGATTACACAGAGTTGTCTAGTCAGTTCTCCAGCCACTGCACCGACCGTGCCGTTAAAATTAGCCCATTCATCTGGATAGGCTATAAAATATCACGCTACGATCAATAGGCGACCAGCAGAGCGAGCAAAACCGCGCGAAAGTAGCTGGTTACGAATGAAATTCCGCGTTTAAAGATACCCAATAAACGAAATTAGGCATTTTCTAAGTATAATAAATTACATCAACAATAATATAAACTCTCCAGTCGACATTAGCATTATAGTCGACAACACTGTATTGGAGACTCGGTTGCCATTCAAAAAGAAAATAAAAAATAAAGTTATTAACTTGAAGAAGCTCCATTCGCCTACGGGTTCGACGAACACTTTCTTCCTGTGCATATTACGGTCATTTTGCAAGCGGAATTGACCCGTCCAAGGCCTGTTTGTTGTAAACCTGTACTGTTTACGAGCTACCTGAGCCTTTGGATATTGTGGATAGTTTGAAGGGTTCTTCCAATACACCTAAAAATTACAACAAAGATTATAAAGTTATTTTGAGGTTATGTTTACAAACGTACGTTTTTAGGAATATTTTTGAGATATATACCTGCTCATAGCTTCTTTTAACAAAAGACTCAGGGAAGTTCGAATATTTAATAGTCAGATCTCCAACTTTCTTTCCTAGAAAACCGTATATTCGCATTTTAATCGCTGTATTTCGTAACCTTGTTGTGAATTTTACCAAATTGTCAATCTAAGTTTGTTGAATATTTGACTTTGACATTGACTGTTCTGTCACTGACAGATATCAAAGCTTTTTCATTTTGTTATTCCGTGTAATACTCGTCATACTCAAGGCAATAAATATTATTTTGTGATATCAATTTTTTCTCCATAATCTTATTTTTTTATAACACTCACTACAAAATAGAATCATAACTTGAAAAGAGGCAATAATTGGCTAGTATTAGAATAAAGTTTTTCCGGGTTTCCGCTTTGGTAATGGTGTCTTTGACGGACTTAAGCCTATTTAGTTTCAACGAAACTTATTATTTGACTCAAGTGAAAATAGCTTCTTTTTCAATTTTTTTTACTTTACTTGTTTTACATGATAATCGAAGAAGTCAAAGAATCAAGGAACGTATTTAACATAGACAAAAGCACTATTTTTATTTTTTTCTTTGACGCTACCAAAATTTGCTGTCATTAAAAATTAATAAACTTAAAAACATATTTTACATCGTATCTATCACAAAATTAGACACTGCTATCAACAGATCTTTAAACAAAATAGTTATAAAATCGTTAATTATTACTTTTAATTTAATTACAGCTGAAAAAAGCATTAATAATATTGCACATAGACAATTGACGTAAATCAGCTGTCCAATATCAGTCGTTGTAGGTGGCAGCACCGCGTCACGTGAATTTTCATGGCGTTGAAGGGCTAGTCCCGAATTGTCTTGTGATTTCGCCAAATTATTTGCTGTTTCCAATATTTAGTGTTAAACAGCATTAATTTATAAGTTCCAGGTGAGTGTTGTGTTGTAATTAAGTGAATACCTCGTTAGATGTTGCCGTTAAATGCTTTTGCGCGGGACTGAAAGATGTCAAAGTCGGTAGTGACGGAGTGTAAGGGGTGGTTTGGGGTGAATTTCTTGGGCTAACTCGCGCCCGGCGCCAGGATGTCTGACCGCCGAGCGGGCGCCGTGGGACCGGGCTCGATATTGATTAAGTGCACGAGCCCGTTGCGTCAGCGTTCTGGCTAAAAACACCAGACCGTCGGCTGCTTCCGCGGGCTCTGCACTGCATAGTCGCAATACAAAATCGATTTTTCGGTCAACGAAAATGTTTTCAAGTGGATCAAACATGTAACATTGGTCTCTGCGAGGGTTTTTGCTGTGAGTCTTTACGTTTTATTGTTTGGATGAGTAGATAGTTGATGATTTTTTGTGTAATTACAGTGGTGAAGATGTCTGAATACTGGGTAATCAGTGCCCCGGGCGACAAGACGTGCCAGCAGACCTGGGACACCCTCAACAATGCCACCAAGTCCGGCAATCTCAGCGCCAACTACAAATTTCCAATCCCTGACCTGAAGGTACATTTTATTTAGATATCTTATATATCATAATTAATCAAAAATTAAGTCAAAACAAAAAGTTTTAATTACTATAATGTATTCCTATTGAATAATAACTCGGCTGTCCTTGAAACAATTTGTACTGACTCGTCATGTGTCAGTGAATTATTAAAACCAATGTCAAAAAACCGTAAAACCAAGATGACCTAATTTCTCAAAACAAAAAATCTGTAGAACCTATGAGATCATACTGAAGACTATGGATTTATTATCTGTATTTTGATAATTTATCTATATTTCCTAAACAGTCTTGATTACTAAATCTTGCAAGAGACAGCATTAAAAAAATCTTAAACTAAATTTCAACAACTCAATCTTATAAGAAAATGAATGGAGGATTATACTACAGCAAAACTATTATCTAACAAATACCAGTAATGACACATAATATATGAGAATTAAAACAATAGCAATTATCCCACACAATAGTATGTTAGACAACTGAGAATATTTGTATCAACACCACTTTGAATCAATTGCAGGTTTTATTCAATTGTTTTTTTTTATTGTGGGACATAGGCCCACAGACCCACAATACAATAAAACTTTTTTTGACGGATCTTTATTCTTAAGCTAGAAATAAAAAAAAGTTAGATGATATGAAACAAAAATGTAATTTGTTATTTCCCAACAATAATATTTATTACATTCCAATTTTTAACTACTCCGATATTATTGGGAAAAAATAAAAAAAATAAATGACATTTCAAAAGAAGTTGTTGTCTGTTAGGTACTATATTTTTTTCTTTTTATCTTCGTATTTTGGAATTTGGTTAACTTAAACAGTTAACAAAAGCTTTTTGTTTTTTTTTTAGTCAATTTAGAATCTTATTGGTGTTGTATGTTGTTTCCAGGTGGGGACTCTGGATCAGTTGGTGGGGCTGTCCGATGACTTGGGTAAGCTCGACACCTTCGTGGAAGGTGTTACAAGGAAGGTAGCGCAGTACCTCGGTGAGGTTAGTAATTTTTTTATATTTATTGTCACTGTGACATTTACTAAAAGGATACCAAAGATCTTAAGATATCGTTTAAAAGTGAATTAACAGATCAGTACCATTTGCATCGATTTTTTTTTTCTATTTTTTGTAATTTTTTCTTCAGGTACTAGAAGACCAGCGCGATAAGCTTCATGAGAACCTTATGGCCAACAACAGTAAGTGAACTTTCCAGTTTTCCTTATGGCACTAAACATTATTTCTTTTAATTTATTCAAATTCTATTTTTAAAAACTTATTCCATTGTTTGGTGCCATTTGTTCATAGATATTTTGGAAGTTAAATAAAAAGGTTTGACATAAAGAATTTAAACATAGAACTTTAACAAGAAAATAGGATTATTTTGCATGATTTAAATAAAAAATAGAGAGAAAAATATTTATGGCATGTTTGGGAAACTATAGAGGAATTAAAGCTAAGGAATTGGGCCTATAATGTTACCAGCATGAGAACTAATTTAAAATAGAAACAGAATGAACTGGTGTAGACAAATAAATAAATTAAAAGCACAGAGTAGTGCGAAAGATTATTAGCATGTGTCGCTGAATTTCAATGGTTAAAATTATCTTTTCTTTTTTTAATATTTTATTTTTATTTATATTTTATTGATTTGTTTTATTAATATTTACCTATATTTTTTGCATGACATTTTTCTAACCGCGCTGCCGGTTCTTGAACGAATCGGGCAGTGCTTTTTTAATTTTATTATATTTTCCTTTTTATTTGCAATTATACAGTTGCATAATACCCGAGAATGTTTATTACTTTATACATTTTCTCACACATAACACACCTCATCTCAACCCCGATAATACACCTATGTACCTTATGAAGCACTAATGTGTACTGTACATACCTATGTATATTATATTGACGAACCTTGGAAACTTTGGAATAAAAAAAACTAAAAAAAAATGATAAAAGAAACAAGTTTCGTCGATAGTGCTCAACATATTGTCACTTTTTTTAAAACCAAAAGGCTAAGAATGTTGAGTGGACAGTGTTTGTACATTTATTTTTAGTTTGAGGTTCGACAACGTCCGACTATGTCGAACCTCTTTGCACCACTGCACCTATGTGTGATATGTAAATAGATTTTAATGGAATGTATAGTAAAAAATATTTATGTTGCATTCACTTTATTGGTACCACGGCTATCGATATTTTCTAAAACTTTTGCGGCAAGATATAATTCGGCGAAAATTGAAGATGATTTTAGTTAAAATATTAAGATGGAATTCATCCAAGGAGGTAAATTATTACTACTGTATTTTCTTTTTGTCTCTAGGTAGGTTCGTGATTGGCTTAAAGATTTTAAAATTGGAATAAATTGCGCATTCATTATTTTCTTCTAAATTATAATTTCTATTTTTCTATGGCAATATTGAATGCGTTTATAAAGGATATGTTTATATATGTACATAATGCTTTATATCACAATAGTATAGCTTTTTATTATTATTATTTTTTACTTAATTTGTGAATGACACGATATTGTGTTTTAGAAATTAATTTTCTATATATTTTAGATTGAGAATGTTAGTTTTTGGGATTGCATTTCAGTGTCTGAAAAATGGAAAAAAGTTTGCGGCAGTGAGTAATATTTTTTTCGTAGTTTATGTAAAAATGGGCTTATTAGTAATATTGTGCGAGCTTCGATAAAATATCTACGCTTCAAATATCTGTATATTATTATAATTTAAAAAAAGCAATAATTTTTATGCAAAATATATTTTTGTTACAGAAATTGTTATTATATGTAAGATAATTCTGTTAATATTATTATTATTAATATGAAGCTTCTTTTCTGGTGATTTTTACGCGATATAAAATGTACTAAGGTTTATAATATATCGTTTTGTTTTTTTTTTTACTTTTTTTGGTGATGTAACATTAAAATTAATATACACTTTTTTAACTGGAGATAAACACAAAATGAAGTTATAAATCGTATGTTATGTAAGACGTCGTGTATAGGGTGTTAATTAATCGTGTCATGTATATTTTATTCGACACTTTATGGCAATTAGTTACAGAGTAATTTTTTAAGAAACTGTAAAAAATTTTTCAATATAAAGGACAACTTATATATATGTTTTAATAATCGACATGATTTTATATTATATTGATTTTACATGCATAACCGCGTTCTTACATCATATTATAAACTCCCATTCATAGTATACAAGCCATGTGGTGTCGGATTTAGGTAAAAATATACTCTATAATCAGCGGAATTACGTCACATTTTCAATGTTCCTCTCATGGACAGCTGAGATAATGTTCTTATCGTAAAACAGTGAAAGTGCGACTTGTTCAGATGAGATTAATATAAAGATATGACATACATATACCAGTATACTTATATACTAAATATGTATTGTTAAGGCAATGTGTAATGGATATAAGTCCTATGTTAAAATAGCAAGGTTTCTTTACTCGGTTGATAGGATTTTTTACTGATTTTTTAAGCTGGGGTGGAAGAAATCAAAGCGTTGTGCATTTTTATTTTTCAGGATTTTTTTCATGCTTTTTGACGCATTTGAAGTATAAAATTTGATATTTATTCAGTACTTCACTGTCTTTTAGGTTGGTTCCTCAACTGATAGGATTTTTATACGAAAGTTTTTTAGGTAGACATGGAGGACATGGATTCATTAGTTTTTCAGGACATTTTTCTTGGTATATGATGCATTTTCCTTAACAAATAGTGAATGGAAACCAATTTAGTAGCCATTTTACTGATCAGAATGCGTTTTTTCTCAGATTTATTGCAATCAAACTCGGGTTCTGTGTTCTTTTTTGATAGAAAATTTAGTTGAGCAATATTTTTAGTTAGTCGATGTGTTTAGTTAACTATCGCGGAGGTCATTTGAACTTCACTTACATTATTAAAGTGTTATTTTTTCCTAGTACTCTATAAATTTAGGGCAACGGATGTTGGTTGAAACTTAATCTGAAACTGTCAATTCACCCTACAACATGATGTCATTGATAAAAATCTGCAGATAACTTTAAATTGTTTCTTTTCTAAATTCGAAATAAGAATGTTTCAGTTATATTATTTTATTTTTTAACTATCGAATGAATTCATATCCATTACATATTTCCATGAGTTCTGAATGAGACCACATTTCGCTTACAGTTACTTGAGTACCTAGACATTGTAAGTTACCGCACACTATGTTGTAATACTCGTTATTAAGATACTGGATATAATGTCTTCATACCATAGATAAATAGCAATCACTGCCTCACAAGACATTCATAGCTTAGCTATATCAAGCTTTAAAAATTGTCTATGCTTTGCGCTTCTTAATTTTTTATTATTATTTAGTTTATTTATATTATTTTTTTATGAAAAATATATTCTTTATTTTGCTCCTGTCCTATACTAAATCCTCTTTATTTTCATCCTAAACTCACGGAGGCGATAAAAACGATGTTATGAGATTGATAATGGGATTTATAGAGAAACATGGACGTAAAACATTGAAAATAACTTTACAACCGCCATAAAACTAGATACGAACAGTGGTAGCTTGTTGTGCGAGGGGATGGAAGTGATAGCGAAGGTTTAAGGACTGTGGCGACTCTAGGCATTGACTCATACGCGGACCCGGGCGGGGGCGAGCCTCCGCCCACGCCGACATCCCCGGTGTGCGACTCCGCGTTCTCGGAGCACCACGGGTGCTGGCCGTGCGAGCATCGAGAGCATTCCGAATACGAGGCCTCGCAGCCTTCGCAACCGTCCAGCGGCCGCAGCTCTCCGCGCTGGGACGACGATGACGACGAGGAACGCCACCACCATATACTCACGCAAGGTTTAGGACCGCTCCCTCGCCTCGCCTAACTCCCGCGTTTGCATCGAACTTGACTAAATTAACCATCCAGTCAAGTTCTGTGCAAACCCTACCCCGGTAGGCCCTCTATCCTATTAGGAACGAAGCTTTGAATAAAGTTTCGTTACGTTCAGCGCTCTCTGCAGACGCGAATAGGGCACGTGAAGGCAGTGATTGCTATCTAAATTGTTTTTCTGTAGTTTTTGCATTGTTAATATTTTTGGATTCAAACAGCAGATGGCGCTGGCCGTGTTTACTTCGCGAGCGCCATCCTGAATTTTGTTTCTTTTCCTAATTTGTTAGTGGAGTTTGCTGGTGAAAAAATTGTCTTGACTACTTTTTTCTTTTGGTGAAAAATTGAAAGCGATATTAATTACTTTTTCTTGTGATTGTCATTGTGGATAACAATCTCCTCTTTCACTCGCAGAATCGCTCGAAAAGTCCCAGCCACTAATAAATTAGGACTGACGTTTATTACAATCGAAGTTTATGGTGACGCTACGAAGCTATAGCTAGGACTTGTCACACTGTACGTCTGTACGTCCTGCACCATATATTGAACGTCCAAAATGGCGTCTATACTGTGTAGTTACTTGGCAATACTGCCCTGTAGTTGCTTTTTCAAAGTCGAACGTGTTCTATAGCTTTTTAAGGTTCATTTTACTTTGCTTAGATGTTTAATTTATTAATACTCGATGTTGTATTTTTTTTAAATGTATATTTTTTTGTTTAATTTTTTATTTTTACCCGTAACTGATATTTTTAAGTTATTTTTTCTTATAACGGTATGCTTTGTGTGTTTATGGTTGATGAAGTAGTAGAAATAAGATTTTATTGCGGATAAAATACTTACCCTCGTTGAACAAGTTTGATATTACTCGTCTGAAGAGCTATTGCTGATCATAGGGTCCTTATGACCTTTCGTCGAATTTTGGATAGAATGTTTAAGTTTTTCTCTTGGGAAATCTTAGTTTTGGTTGTAAAATTGAATGATAGATGCAGCACCACAATGAGACTATATATATACCTGTCGAAAAACGTCTTTATGCGGATTTTTTGTGTCAAAAATATCTATTATATATAATTTTTTGTGTCTAATATAAAAATGTCTTTTTATAAAATATCTTCAGTAGACATAGAAAAAATCCCTAATCATCCAACAGGCTTTTCTCTAGACGACATATTTTTATACTGTATACCAATTACCATTCGTCAGAAATACTTTAACCACCAGGTTTGCCCCATAACCCAAAAAAAAATAAGTTAAATACCAGCCAAAAACTGAATCAATCACACCCGTATGAAATTGGTTTGACCCATATATCAAAGTTATGGCCGCCTCTAAATATAACTTTATTACAATGCCGATTATAACCTTGATTCCGTGTTGTAAGTTATTTCTGAAAATTATTAACGATCGACGATAACGATATAGTATCTCCTGAATGAGACCTATGAGACAAATTAGTAGAGAGAATTTAAATACGTTAATATATTTTGTTTGACTGTTAAATATAAAAAATATAAATTCTACGT